CAGAGATTCCGTATGATCGAAAACCGTGAGTATCTGCTACCATGTAACAGACAATGGTGAGGAGATCACGAGTGATGCTTTATTGACAAATAAAGGGAACAAATACTGCGTAATAGCAGGAAAGCAAGAACAAAGGCGCATATGGCCGAAAATAGCAAGTGGTTGCTAAAGTGGTTCTTGAGCGTCTGATGGCGTGAAAGAATGCTGGCGGCAACCACGTGCGTGCAGCTGGCCAGATGCATCAGCTGTGTGATGCGCCGACTGGACTCAATCCAACGCGAGCATAAGAACGCTGAGTCATATTGCGAGAGAGGGACGAGAGAGCAAGTATAGCTCAGTGTGTGCGCCGCGTATATCCGCTTAACCGGATGAGTGCAGTGCAGCAGCACACGTACGTACAGCGAGAGAGGCAATAACGGCATGCAATGGGTGCAAGTACGTCCTGTGTGGACCGTACGCACCAGGCGCAGTCGTACGCCTCTGACATTATTAATAATCAGTTAACTACAGCTAGCGCCCCGTCAGTATAATTCGCGTTTTAGAGTATGTTACAGTTTCTGAATTTCAGTTATTTTTTATTAGCGGTTTGACATAAAGCTTATATCTGTATGTCTGTACTGCTCACTGTATAGATATGCTTTGCACAAATTTTTCAGCCAAATAGGTTTGTAGATGCAATTTTGGGTACAATCATTGACTCTGTCCACCTTCCAGCAGTACAACGTTATACACCATGAATTGTTTGTCAACTCCTGAGTCGGTTCATTGGAGGGTGGGAATCATATAAATTTTAAATAGAATTGCTGTTAGGTGTAATGTGCGAATAGTCTTGCATGCTGTAGTATGATACTATGCTGCACTACCCTGAAAATAACTGGGAAAATCAACGGAATATGTAAATGTTAGTAAAACGGGTCTAAACGTTCATATTCCCAGTTGATCTCATACAATTAGATCAAATTTGTTTTGGATTTGACAGAAGTGTTTAATTACTTTAACACTGGCGTTGACTTACGGCAGCTATCACAAGTTAAGCAGCAAACGAGTGTGCGGAGAAAAAAGAAGATTCATTTTTCACCAATTAACCGCACCTGATTAACCGAATACATTATCAGGCAGCTTTATGGTTAACCGCAAGCAAGGTGGTGATAGGGTATGCCGCAAGGCATATAGTCTACTCGGCCCGTTTCCCTGTACTGCTGCCGTCACCTGCAAGGAGTATGACGTTACGGCATTACATACGGTTAAATTAGGTGCGGTACAGAAGCACCATGTATAGCCACAACGTAAAAACACCAGCCGGCTGACATCAGTCCGAAGTACGAGCGACTGGTTCGACTAGACTTGTTCTTTCCCCTATATTTCAGCCTTCTACTCGTCTATCTGTGAGTGCCTCGTCAGCCGCGATTGTATTACGCGCCATGCGATTCTGTTTTATGGAGTTACTTTGCTCAGAATGCAATGTGACCTTTTGAAATTGTTTATGCCGGCGATTACTTAAGAACTTCGTGCATGGCCAATAATGTGAACAACACTATACATGTCAAACTGACGATTTACCGGCAAGATTTTAAAAAATTATGTAGTTGGCCAAAAACTTATTAGTTGCCACATTTTATGCGGCATCTGCCAGATTTTATCGCATGCCAGCTGCCAGAGCCTCCAGGTTTTATTGCTCGCCATGTCATTCGCAGTGCCACTGGCAGGTGCCAGTGCCACGGTTTACCCCCTGCTCGCTAAAAGATGATCTTGGAGAGATGAACGGTGTACCATTTTAGCCATACTCGTACCTTATCTTATAATTATAAGCAATTTCAGAAAACTACATGCCTTCCTGATTTCCTGTATTTTGCAACGCAGCAAATTCGGGGCCTGGAAGGTTTTTCCGTTTCCACTGAAAATTCAGGGCGCACAGCCAAATCACTTCGCGCCTCGATCGGGGGCGCATAGCGATGACCTAAAATTAATGGAACTGCAGCGGCTCGATCAAGTGGCACCACAGAGTTGTGTGTAAGGGAAAGCACCACACATGCAGCGTGTGTATGCTCAGGCGGTCGCAAGCACGTGCAGTGCACACTTTGCAGGTGCTGATTTCCCGTATACAAACTCTGTGGTGCCGTGCCACTTGATCGAGCCGCTACAGCACATTTTCAGACGGCTATAGGCTGCAGCCCAGTGCTTATCCGGGCTTGGCCCGGATAAGCCAGATAGGGTCAAAAAGAAGGAGAAATAACAATTATTAAAGGAAGGAATGTTTTTGGTCAAAAAGAAAAAGAAGGTTCGATAGTCAAAAAAGGAAGAAAATTTTCGTGGTCAGAAAAAGAAAAAGATTTCAATGGTCAAAAACAAAAAAAACCTTCTGGACGACGACACTCTTAAAATATCCGTAGGTCTGAGATTGTGAGTTGCAATAATTATGTGAGCCTCACGATTGTATGAAGTACCGAAACACGTGGATAAATACGGACACCATGGTCTATCTTGTGCATTCTCTGCTGATAAACACCCACGACACGGCGGGCTGAACAGCATCGTATGCCGATCTCGTCAGCTGGGATTCCGGCAAAACTGGAGCCACGTGGCACATCGCATACGTCCGAACGACGTCCTGATGGCTGTACAACCTTCGCCTGGCAGAGAGGGATGTGCTTAGCGTGGGACGTCACTTGTGTGGTCACGGTTGCGCCTTCTCACGTCAAGTCTACGGCGGCCAACGCAGGTGCCGCAGCGGTGAAAGCAGAAGAAAAGAAGTCCCGGCTTTATTTGTATCTAAGTGGCAGATACACATCTTTGCACCGATAGCTTTCGAAACAATGGGCCCTTGGGGGCCGTCCGCTATCGTCATCATCAAAGCACTGGGTAAACGACTCGAACAACACACGGGGGAAACCCGTTCTCATGAATTTTTACGCCAAAGATTGTCACTGCAGATTCAGCGCGGCAACGCGGCGCCGGTTATGAGAACGATGGAAGGAGCAGAAAATTTTAACGAAATTCTGATGTTGTAAAAAATGTTGTCTGTTATTACAAATTTATGTTGTTCCTCAGGTGAAATAAACATATTTCAGGTGAAAAAAAATATTTCTGGTAATGCGTTAAGAAAAGTTTTGGGAATTACACTTGGTAGTCTGTACGTTTAGTAGAGTAAGTAGTCCGTACTCCGTGGTACAGAAAACGCGTACCAGCTAAACATATTTTTGAGAAAAAGTAATTAATTACACGTGCGCTGAGTGTGCTATGGATACCGTGATGGCGAGGTAAAACGGAACATCAACTACGGCATCCAGAAGATGAGGCGAACAAAAACCAAACTCACCATTTCCCAGCAAGTCACCCTTTATCACGCCTTTGTCCAGCCATACATAGATTACTGTGGACTGGCCTGGTCAACGGCGTCTTCGGGAGAGCGGGAGAAGTTGAGTAAACGTCAGGATGCGGCCCTGCGAACCATCACCGGATACGGGATACGGGTAACACCGCAACTGTACCGGCAGCTGGGGATTACCCCAGCAAAAGATCGATTGCGCCAGAAGGAAGCAGCCTGGCTTTTCAAGATCCGCAACCGGGAGAATTTTGCTGTGCCATCATACGTGTGTGACTTGGTTCCTTTCACGGACACCAGTGCCCAATATGGACTTCGCCGGACAGAGCGGATCGATGCCACCGCGCGGCGGAGCATCGGAGAGACGATCCTTGCGATGAGGCTTAAAAGTCTGTTCAATAAAATTATGAAGGATGGAGATAATCTGTTTGGCTGTGGTTCTGTCGAAGTCTTCCTTTCTTTACTGCGTCTTAAAAAGATTGTTTAAATTTTTGCTGTTTTATTGTTGAACTTTGATATTGACCAGAATATTGAGTGCCTCAGGGTTTGTCTGCTCGGAAATAAACTAAACTAAAACTAAGGAACGGAACGGCCTTCCGACACGCCCAGAAAGCATGGGACACTCTGTTAATTATTAATGTACGTAGTACGTACTCACGTACCTACATCAGTTTATTCAGTACATACACTCTGTTTTGCCATCTGTACTACTAGCGGTGGTTGCGAACCACATTATTTTATATTGCACGAGAGCGAGCGCCAGTACCACTGCGAAATGGTGCTGGGATTGTGGAACTGGAAAAGCGTGACGTACGCTCTTCGTGGCGTCAGACAAATTTAGGGGCCATCCATAAATTACGTAACGCTAAAATCCACGGTTTTGAATACTCCACTCCCTGTGTGTCACAATGCTAACAAAACCGAGATCCCCTCCCCTAAGCGTTACGTAATGAAATCAAAACCCCTCCATAAGCTATACCATTGTGACGTCATAATTGTAACAAAACGTAACAAATTTTTTAAAGCCCCCCTCCATTTTGGCATAAATCGTAGCGTTTCAAAGACCCCCCTCCCCCTACTTGCGTTACGTAATTTATGGATGCTCCCTTATGCTCTTGACGAAGACTTATTGCAGCACCTCCCGCTTCGCGCTCGGTGCAAATTATTGTATGCGATGGTACATTTTGTTTTTCAAGTCGTTATGGTGCTGCAATTATTTTGTATTATAACCAGACCAACCATGCCTTTTCCGCTTTCCGTATCAGACGGCAGCGGCATTCGAATGCAAAGTTGCAAACATCTGAGAGAAATCGCAAATTACTGTAGATAATGGATCGGCCTGTTACTGTACACTGTACAGTTTGCATGCACAGACTACAGAGTACAGACCGCAACCGGCAGCGTGCCGACTTCTCTCTACAGGCTGGTGCCAAGCCACGCTTGCTATCAAAATATGCGAGTGCTGAGCGCGCAGCCCCGAGACAGATGCCTATCGGGCTGCGAGGAGGGAACCTTCTACAATAATATGTATCGCACTGCATACCTTTCCTGTACTGTTTACATACTGCTCCAGGCTGCAGCCATCCGCCCGTAGTTGCGCAGCATGGCTGCGCTACACTGATAGCGTCTTCATTCTACACGGTCGTGGTGTTGTAATTCTAGACGGATGAATGGAGCAGTTCAGGGAAGGGGTTAATGCGACGCTACTCTATTCCTTTTATACAGTTGTATATTCTATGGCCTAAAAATATAAGTATCACCGTATAAGATGGTGAATATGTTCCTATAATTTATAATATAATCATTATATCCGTGTAATGTAGAGTAGTCATACACTAAATGGTGCCACGGCCCCTAATTATTAGGCTCGTTACGCCACTTTGTGGTAATAATTCTGCGCGTTTAAATCTGGATTCTTGTTACAACAATGCAAATTAAGAGCACAGCTGGTTAGACTGTTCGAGTCAGACAAGTTTTTAATTTTACATACGAGTATTCTTTTCACCTATTTCTCGTCAACATTGATTTTTTCCGCGATGGTTTGCCTGGATCACTTGAGTTCCTAACTTTCCTACACTGTAAGTACATTGAAAATATTTGCAGTGCATGAAACCTTCGTAGTTCGTACACTACATGAGTATTAGTAATCAGTTATACAAAAGGGGAAAACACTGAAACTGTCCATTTTTTCCGGGCTGTGCAATATTTCCGCACATCGCAGAAAGAGCCAATTAAGGTAAATTAATGGCGAATGGCATTTCACGTTTATTTAAGATCCACTACTTGGCAGCGCGAACACGATTAATTCAGTTGTAGTCTCAAGAGCATTCGCTAGAGTAGTACAGTAAAACTTCATGAATCTAAAGCTTATGGAATTTTTCAAACAATTCTGCAGTTGTTTCAGTTAGTAAACTTTAATCAGTTTGTAAACTTTAGTTAGTTGGTCTTAATCGTTTGGGTTTTCAGGAAATTTCTGATCGTCGATTGAAATCAAATTTTTTAATCCTTCGAAGTTCAAGGAAAGAAAAGATTTAGGTAAACTATTAAACGAGTTTATCTGTAAGTTGCAATATTATTTTACTTAAAAATTAAGTTTCACTTAATTTTTGATTTGTTCGTTTAGCTGCAGTAATGCTAGAACCTTACAGAAATTAAGTCAGCCGTTCAAGATTTTACTGCCTGCATTTTTAATTCGACCTGCGCTGGTTTTATGGGGCATAAATAACTTTCTCTGCAAAGCGAGTTGTTGGAGTCAAAACTGGTATGAAATGTGGGATTATGTGCCAAAGATGGTTTTTCTCTTTCGAAAGTGGTATCAAGGTTGCATATTAGGATGCAAGGGTGGCATACGTGAATTTAAATCGCTTGGGCGGGAGGGGCACCCGGGGACCCCAAGACGAAAACGGTAAACTAACCTACCGCAGAAACTGCACTTAAAATTTTTAAAAACAATTTAGCTTGTTCAGTTTGCGTGTAAAGCTACATAATTATATGGTAAGTGCCGTGTAAAAAATTACAACAAGTGCTAGCGAGCGATCTTGCTGCCAAAATTGCTGGAAATTCTATCAGAAATGATAGAAATAGATCTAAAATTTTTGCAGCGAAATCTGAAGGGCGTGTATTTAAGGCTGTAATGCCGCTGTATCATGTATAAAGTCTACAAAAAAGATACACTTTCGCGCGTAGGCAAAAAAGCCTTCACCATAAATAAATGGGAAAACTTGCCAAACTTTTAGGAAAACATTTTTTTTGCTAAAATCAGTTATTGAAAAGTAGAATTATGGGAAGAAAGTAGGGACTAACTTGAGTTTAAATTTGAACTTGAGTTTTCATTAATTTAATTTTAATTTAAACGCGATTTGTGTAATCGGTACGATCCCCGATCAGGATAGCATAGAGCGAGTGTTTCTTTTGTAAATGCTGTTTTGTTCTGGTGCATAGCTTTTGTACTCGCACCATGATACTTATTACTTATTAAAGGTTTAATAAGTTATAATTTATTTTGAATGACAATGTCATAAGTAGCATATGCATATGATCGCAGATGATGTGAAAAGATACAGGCTTGCGCACCTGCTGAAGTTAGGAGCATGGTTTATATCGCAGTAAACTGAGTAAAGGCTGTATTTTTTTATAACGGGCAAGCAATGCACACAGTGCTCGGAGCTACTATACAAACAGCAGTAGTGTGGCAATACCGTACAATTACAATACACGTGATACTTTTAATCAATAAATTCCTGTTTTTTGTCACGCCCAACTGGACGATTGCCGATAAGTATTGTTTTCAGGTTTTATTCTATTAACGTTATTCTACCTGTATGCAGAAAAGATAAAAATTTTTCGGAGAAGCGAACCGGTGACCGCCCTGTGAACCTGTTTTATGGATTACAGATCATTCCACAGATCAGCATGGAGTTTACGCCGTTAGTGATGCCACAGTTCCAGCCACTCTTGGCTGAGGCTGGCCAGATGAGTTACCAGAATATGGTGGCGGTCCTCAATGATGACAACAGCTGGTGGCTGGGATACATTCAGGATATGAACGGCGAGCTGGCCTTCATCCACTTTGACTCGAAGAAGGTCACTAACCGTTGGGTGCACATGGGACGGGTCTGGGCGTTGCCATTCTATGCAGACACCCGCCCATTTTTACATGCGCGCAAAATGCAGGTCGTCTATGCGGCACTGCGAGACGAAGACGATGGACCGTTTCGTTTCCGACAGGTAACAATGTTCAATGAAGTGCAAGGATGTGAGACATGTCGACTGTACTACATCAAAACCGTGACTATTGACACCAGCGACCAGCAAAACAGCGCGCGTTGTGAACTGGTTCAGCACTGCCAAATTACACCACATCTGCCGCCCGCCGGTTCTCCGCTGCTGCTGCACTCCATCAGCGGTCTGCGCTGCACCAAGTACATGGTGCCCTTCCCCGCAGCCCCGACGATTTTCCGTGACGCCTCCGATAAATTTCGCATCATCAAGCACTTTCGTCATGCATTTGAAGGGAACAGGTCATCCGTTCATAAATGGGACTGTTGTCGCTTTCATCTGCGAGCTGAACGGGATGGATGCATGTTTATCTTCATGGGTCCCGCAGTGGACGCCGAGATGGCACAGAACATGGTGAAGACGTTGACACAAGTGCTGGAGACACACCTAGCCAGTCGGGAACAATGGCCAGCGATTATTCGGCAAAGTCCATGCATAACTGAGCCATGTCGGCACGAAAAAGGTAACGCCTCAAGTGGTCATTGCCGTCCATTGGCAAGAACACTGTTTTGGCGCAAACTCATGACAGTTGCATTTTTGTGTGAAATGATACATGGGTAACACGCCAAACTTAATATTGTTTTAAATATAATAATATAATATTATATACAAGTATCGGTCGCGCGAGCGCGCGACCAGCTGTGTTCGAGGTAGGGAAGAAAGAAAGATATTACAAAATATACTTTGTACAGCAATAAAATAGATTTCAAGAAATATTTCAAAGTAAAACCCCAGCGAGTCAAGCTACTAAAATATTTTAAACATGTAGAAATTGTTAGAGGCACGACAGCCTGCGTGGTAGATACGCCACTTTGCGTATGCGTACCAACGCACACATGCTGATTCGCCCTCTCTCGTACGTACGTGAGTGGCTGCACTGCACTCTCCGCCTAGCGGATCTACCGCGGGCGCACTCACTGAGCATACTTGCTCTCTCGTTCCTCTCACTCGCAGTATGACTCAGCGCCTATACGCTCGCGTTGGATACGAGCCCAGTCTGCGCAGCACATTCCACATGTCTGGACGCACGACGTTGCCGCCAGCGCTCTTTCTCTCTCTACATTTCATTACGCGCTAGAATTCGCTCGCAGCAACATGACTTGCTGATTTTCATGCCAGACATTGGCGTCTTTGTTCTTTCTCCCGCAATCACGCGGTATTTTGCTCCCCTTTATTTGTCAATAAAGATCACTGTGAGCTCCCTGCGCTTGCCTGTTATATGGTAAGCAGATCGTCTGGTTTTCTGTCCACCGGATCCTTTGAGGAGACGGTAAAGGCATAATTTGGCGGAGAACTCGAGGAACCCACGGTTGAAAGTCAGATCGACTGCGAACGCAGCCTCTGCTTTCACCTAGCCTCACTGTCTCGCGATTGTGGTAGCAACAGGTTGATCGCAAAAGCGATCCCTTCCACTCTCGCATTGCCCTATCTCTCGTCTCTTCCACACAAGAAGAGCGACTCGGCTGACTGCCCCAGACGGACGAATGGGAAAATCCCCACTACCCACTGAAGGATCAGGCTCACACGACAGCCTGCAGCGCGCGAACGGATCGTTTCTGCAAACGGGGACCTTCGCCTTGAACGGCGACCCGCAACTTTAACGGATTTCGACCTCCCAACGGCGGATCACCGACCTCCACGGACACCAGTAACACACCGGTAAAGTCCTGGTTACAGGTCGATGTAGGTCGATTCTAGATAGAATTTCTAGATTCTAACGGCTAAATTTAATTTCTAACAAAGAAATTTAAATTTTCTACGGTAAAAAGTTAATTTTTGTCGGAGAAACCGACTTAAAAAGTTACTTTACCGACCTAACGGACCACTCTGGATAACCGACCAGAGGTCGGTCATTGTCTTATTTTTCACTTTTGGCGGACTTTTCACCGTCAGAAAAATTCCTAAAATTTTAAAAATGATTTCTGACGGATCAAAAATCAGAAATTCGACCAAATAACAATTTTGGCCGACCTAAAAATAATTTGTTTTTCTGCGAAAAATAAGCGAGAAAATTCTCGAACTTCCTTGTGACGTCAGAACGTTCGATTTCAGTACTTTAGCGTTAGCCAATCAGCGTGCCGGGGAAACTTCCCACACGCTTAACATAGGCGTGAGTCATCATTTCTTGAATTTTGCACGCGGCTCGCTATTTGTGACGTAGGCAGTGAAGTGCAAGACCACTTAACCCTGTGACGTCATACTGGTCAGCGCAGTAGTATAGGACGTACGTTACCGTATTACTATATCATACTGTACTGTACCATAGTACTGTATAGTAACCTTGTGTACTGAGTCACACACAGACACGTCAACAACAACAACAACATCAAGTCGGACCATGCTGACCCTCGGAAGTTCCTGAACCAAAAGACGTTCCTGATTCTATTGAACATCCCCACAGAAGGGATTGTTCAATTCACTGCATACAAGCAGCAAATCTTGTTCGGTTCCACTTTAACCGACCTAACCCGACAACAATGTCGTACCCGAAGAAGAATGAATACGCCCGGGATTTCAACACCGATTACTCCCGGCGCCTGACCTCAAACGCACCGTACTCACTGCGGCATGCTGGTCGGGATGGAAGTCAGCCGTCATCAACGGACTCGGTGAAGTCGGCCCAGGCACGGGAGAAGCGTAACGAGCGGATCCTCCTCGCCGATTCCAACCCGACCTCCGATGACAGCTTCGAGGACGCTCACGACAAGACGTTCCTCGAGCCCCAAGCTGACTCAGCAGCCCCGTCCCACCCGACCGGGGGGGAATCGGAGAAGCTGCAGGCTGAGACGACATTGTCTCATGCCGAGTCGGAACACCCACATGGTGTACCGACCTCATCGGACCCAACTGAAGGAACTCAGCCGAGCTCACAGAAAGCTCAGGAGTCGGTTACGACTACGACAGTCACCAACATTGGACGCAAATCACCCAACCAGACGGATGATGCGACGAGGTCGACCTCGCCCAACGTGGGCAGAGCGACTTCACCGACCTCGAAGGACGGCGAACAGCAACCGACCTCGAAGGTCGGAAAGAAGCAACCAACAACGGAAACCGACCAAGTCCAACCGACCACAGAAGTCGGAAGGACATCACCGACCTTGAAGGTCGGTCAACAAAACCCGACCTCGGAGGTCGGTCATCCTCAACTAGGAGGCAAGGAAGGTCAATCGTCACCAACTAAGGACGTTGGCCAACCAATACCGATTAAGGAAGTTGGTAATATCCAACCGACAACAGAAGTCGGAAGGATTTCACCGACCAACTGGGTCGGACAACTTCCACCGACCAAGGTCGGTCAACAGCAACCGACCTCGAAAGTCGGTCAACAGCAACCGACCTCGAAGGTCGGTCAACATCAACAGAAGATTGAGGTCGGACAACAATCTCCGACCAAGGAAATCGGTAAAGTCCAACCGACAACAGAAGTCAGAAGGATCACTCCGACCAATAAGGATGGAAGTCCATCGACCAACCAGGTCGGACCTCATCCGACCACACAAGTCGGAACTGAGGTCGGACAACTTCCACCGACCTTGAAGGTCGGACAACAGCAGGTCGGTTACGTACAACCGACCTCCCTGGAACAGAAACCAGTGGATAACAGGTCGGATACGGAAGTCCAGCCGACCAAACTAACGGTCAGAACGGGAAAAACGGAGGCGCCGCCACGAAGCAGCCCGCGCCTAACTGGATCACCGACCTACTTACCTGCACCCAACGAAAGGGTCAGTTCACCGCCCAAGCGACCTTCACCAACTGGAAGTGAGTCGACTCGGGTAATGGGAACCTTACCAATGGTACGAACACCTTCACCGACCGATGAAGTCTTTGGGACGACCACCACAAAAGTGGTTCGCCCGGATAGCAGGGATGGATTCTTCCGAACGCCGATGACACCCCACTTGGGTAATCATAGGTACCAAGCAAGCACGCTTGAGTACACGGCACGGAAGTGGATTGCATCCACACCTCCAGAAAGGATTGACTATATCAACCGGCTCCGGGAACGATGTCGCCAACCGATTACACAAACCGTGTTGGCTGACCAAATCGTCAACTCCGCGGAAGGTACGATGTCGCAGTCGGCAAACGCCCATAAACTCGAACGAATGAGATGGGAAAAGGAACTCGCCGAGGCTAACAAAGTCATATCCGACCAACAACGGCGGATTGACCAGCTCGAGTGTCACCTCAAGAGGTCCGACAACCCATGTCGATACGACTTCGAAGAGGTCGATAAACTCAAAGGCACACTGGAGCGGTCCGTGGAACCGGTCTTTGAACTAAAAAGACGGCTCGCCACCGTGGAAAAAGACCTAGCTGATACACAAACTGCACTGGTCGAATCGGAACTGGCGGCAGGAGAATTCCACCAACAGTTGAATCAGGCCAACGAGGAAGCCGAGGCTTACCGAAACGAGGTCGACAGATACGTAGTCGAACTCAAGCAGGCCGACAATGAGGTCGACCAACTTGCCGACCAGGTCCATGGACTTAACGATGTGCTGAAGGAGGAACAGAAGCTCCGAGCACAACTGGAATACAGTCTGGCGGAAGCTCAGAAAGTGAACGAAGCGCAACGGAACCGCATCGTTCACCTCGAAGCCCGTGAAAACGAACTCTACGCCTACGGAGAAAACGCGGACGAATATATCGACGACCTGAATCGGTACATCGATGAGATGGATACGGAGGTTCGGTGCCTCCAGGAGAAAACGAAACACCTGGACCGAACCAGGGTAGAACCTCCATCCTACAGGACGTCGATGGCAACGGACCACTATCCGTCGCAGACTGTTCGGAACATCCTGTGGGATATCCAACCTAAGGAGTCCGAGAAGAAGGAACCGACCTACTTCGTGGGAGTGGTTACGAACAACCCACTCTCCGGAACTCTTCATCAACAGCCTTTACCGCATCATCCAGAACCGGAACACAACACGTCGACTGCGACACCACATGTGCCAACGTCGAATGTTCCGACAACAACAACGGCTGGTACCTACACAAGTACCATGTATGCAACGCACACAACGATGCATGCGCCAGCGCCCACCGCGTCCCACCTGAACGGACCACGGGGAACGGAACGCGATACAGGACGGCGACTGGAAGGACGAACAGGCTCTCATCCCAACATGGATGACTTCGGACTCTTAACTATACGCGACTCAGATTATCAGAGAGCCCGGGTGGGGTCATACCCAATGATCCTCCAAGGACATAACCGACAACCCGATTCGGAACACTTCGCTGACAATCCGGAACAGTCCGATCCGACGCCTCGATCGACCCACAGAAGGTCAGTACCAAAGGAGGCCGCAAACAAATCAGTTTGGACGGGTCAACGATAACCCGGCCGGATTCTTCCAGCAGCCAACACGGCCCCCTCGAGCAACAGCACCTCAGCCGGATCGTCAACCGGCTGGATATCCGGACCAACAAGGTCGGGGATATCCG